CCTGGGTTCAATTCCCAGCAACCACATGGCAGCTCACAACTGTCTGTACTTCCAAGATCTGACACCCTCACACAGAAATATATGCAGACAAAACACCAATGGACATGAAATAAAAATAAATAATATTCAAATGCCCAATTCTGTACTTTTGAGTGAAAATGGACTAGCTATTCTGTATCCTAATATGACTTTTATTATACAAGCTCAGATATATATGTATATATCTGAGTTTTCTTAAAGGGTATAATGATAAGGAAATGAGTATGGACCCTGATCACAAGAGTAATACATGTGGAAGGTAAAAAAAAAAAAAAAAAGTGTATGACTGTGTATAAGACATACCCATATTCTGACTAGTAAAACACTCTGGGGAAAATATGCTGAGAATCACTTGAGAGTGACTTCCCTATTTCATACTTAGAAAGAGCCTTGACGAAATCTGTATAAGAGAGACACAAACAAGTCATAAATCAGGTAACTACCCTTACAAAATACTTTTGTAAATTTTTATAATATCTGGCGAGACATTTGAGCTAGGAATACACGCTGTCCCAGAAGAGCCACTGGGCTCAGGAATTCCAGTTCTGGCAAGAGGAAGTGGAACACCTTCCTGATGCTGGCTGGACGCTGACTCCCATTCCCATGGAGACCATTTCAGTCATCTGCACTTTCGATGACACAGTAAATAAGCACTACTGACATTAGGCAAGGCACTCAACTCTTTTTTTCCAACATCATCTATTTCAAGTGAAAGAAAGTTTTATACATGCTCTTTGTCTATATTAGGAAAAATATTTTATTTTTAGAAATTCTTTCTAATAGTTCTTCAAACTCTATAGTTATTCAAAAAAATTGGATTTTGGTGGGAATATACTATCTTTACTCTGATACATCATTTTAAAGTGACTCTAACTCAATCTTCTTTCCAATACTGTCTTCTCAAATAATGAATAATTACTACGTACAGAAAAGCCTGGTAATACGAAAGAGTGAATTCCATAGGTCAGAGATTCAGTAAAAAAAACTGGGACTAAAGTCAGGATCATAAAAACACAAGGAGGAAAGCCTTCACATATCTGAGAAAATGCTTCAATAAATGGACAACCTTCATATCAAGGGTGGGTGGGGAGATGACACAGCATTTGGCAGGCCAACTGTTGCATAATAACAAATCACTAAGTGAAATTAATGTAAACTGCTTCAATTTGTCCACAACACTTCCAGGTAGAGAACACTGGGAAACACAGAGGTAGAGAACACTGGGAAAAGTAAAATTGATCATTGAGTCACTGTTATACAGGGAGGGACTGTTGGCTGTGTCACAGGAAGACTGATTATATACTGTTCACAGAAGATGTTGCCTTAAATAACTAACAACTCAGGAAGACAAAAGGGCAGGCTGGGTCTTTTCCATGTGTTACTTTCACATTTGGTAACTTCAAGAATTGAAAACATTCTCCAAATGAAAATTCATCTTACTGAATTAATGTTTTAACAAGTTGTGGACAGCAGGTCACTAACCTCAAAGAAACAAGTACAGAGGTAAGGTACAGACAACTTTATTACAATTCTTTCCAAATTTCAAAATGCATTAATCACTGAGATTAAATCTAATATATAATATGTTATATTACAAGGCAGAAAGCATTTATAATCAGATATTGCATTTCCCTGCATTGCCTAAAATACAGCTTTGTAAGAATAGCAGCAACACATAATAGTTTATAACACTAAAATACTTCTCCAATATCAGAAACATTTAAATTGAAATTTATTTGTAGGGGAGACTACAGCATCCCCTACATTTGTTTCATGCTATTTTCCTCCAACATAAAGATAAAGCAAAGCTATCATCTACATGTCTTACTGTTGATACCTTTAGTAGATGACAGGATCTTTAAAATTAAAGTAAAAGAATACTATATTTCCTCACTGCAAGCAAAGGCAAAAGATCTTTTTTTTGTAGCCACCTAAGCACTAGGCTTCTAAAGACACCCAAGTCCAGAATGAGCTCTACCAGTCTTCTCTGCTGAATCTGCCTCCTCACATTTGCTCTCTTAGGAGAATTTACCATCAACTTTGAACATTCCTTAATGATGAACTTGAAAGTAAACTTGGGAAATGTAATGACACAAGGGAATTGCTTTCTAAATTAGACAAGGACATTATTTGTTCATCTATCTCTGCTTCAACCAGTGAGCTAGGTCAACCTTAGAAATAGACTTCCTGCTCCACAATCAAAGACCGGAACAGTGGAAATAGGTGGAAATACACTGAGGAGGTCTAGTCACTTCCTTTTCTTTCTTTGGTTTTGCATTTGTGAGCTAATGATTAGGACAAAACATGTTCTATCTTCTCGTTCTCACAACTGGAAACTGTTAAGGAAGTATAGAAATGTTGTAGTTTTCATGAGACAAATGTAAAACAGATATTGCTATGAGACTGCAAGAAGAAGAGGTGAATGGAAGCTGTGTGCTGGCTGCTTGGGTGGGGAAGCAAGGCTCATAGTCACTGTACGTTAAGAGCACGTGCTGAAACTTCATGGTGCCAGTCACGTAATTTTGTATATTTGGGACTAAAGACGTGAAGGGGTATCTTTTCCCTGTGGAAATAAAAAGAGAGTGATAGAAGAGTCGTAAGAAGGTGAAAGAAAAAGATTCTATACTAATTCCAACATGCAGAAAACATGCCTTGAAAAAGCTTAATTTCAGACAGCAGTTTTGTTAATAGCAGTGCTTAAAAGCAGAGAGTTTTTGGAAATACAGAAATTAGTCTACAGAGTCCTCTTGGAAATATTCTTTTATGCACCAAATAAGGGGAGTTCAAGACAACACAGAAACCCATTCACTTAGAGTTGCATTATTAGTAAAATATCCCCCAAATACCCTGTATTCATTCATTATGTCACTATTAAAGAGAATTTGCTTTAGGCATAAAATCTAGACAATATCAACTAATTTCGAAATCTGTAGGTTGCATGTTTAGATCACACTAAAGGCACCATGGGTTAAATGCTTAGTTTCTGTTTACAAAAACAGCAAAACTGTAACATTACACTTGAAGTTTGAAAACAACAAATTGAGACCATTCATGAAAAGAAAGCATTCTCTATTCATTAAAGGAGAACTTACTTTGCCTTCTTTGTATTGTCATTTTCAGATTCTTTCACTGCAATGTAAATAAGATCCAAAATTAACTTTTAAGTTTAACTTCAAAATCACTTACATAATTATCTGTATGAATCAATGTCAAATGTTGAAACCAAATAGAGCAATTAAAACAAATCCATACCATGTTTACCCTGGCATACAACAAGGCTAGTACAACACCCCCTCTTCTCAATGCAACTCCCTGAACTGAAACCTTGCTACACACAACATGATTTACATGCAGTCTTTGCCAGGACTGTTTTCTGTAACTGCTGATAAGCCTAGATGTTACCATCAGAGCCAAAAGCATTCCTCTCCTAAGATCTCTAGTTTACTCACGGTGTTCAGTCCCGGTGATCTGGGCAAGGATCCGGAAGGAACGAGACTGAGTTGTTCCAGTCCGTGGGCGCCAGTCTTCAGTGTCCTCAATTAGCCGCTTCTTGCTGGCATCACTGTGAGTGGGGATGTGATAAAACTCCGTGTTGCGCTCCACAATGTGTTTTCTCGGTGGGCTAGAAAGAAAAAGAGAAAACATAATAATTACAATTTAAATTGCAGGGGCTGGAGAGATGGTTCAGAGGTTAAGAGCACTGGCTGTTCTGCCAGAGGACCTGTGTTCAATCCTAGCGCCCACATGGCAGTTTACAGTTGTCTGTAACTCCAGTTCCAGGGCATCTGATACCTTCAGACCAATGTACATAAATAAAGCTAAATAAATTTTAAGAAACCAATTTAAATTGCATTGATGACAAAAAAAGTCTCTGGTGAACTATTTGCAATTTATACATTTACTTCTCAATACTCCTTTTATATACACAGTTGGTATAAAGATGCTCAATTTAAATTACCCTTCTAAATAGACATAGTAGTAGAATAAATTTATAGGTTAGTGTAAACAATGCTAAAAGGTTGTACTGAACAGCAAGATTACCGTTTAGGTGGAATTTTCCTTTTAAGTGACAGAAGGAGGCAGCAGAAGAAAGATTCCCAACATGAAGAAAAGGAAAGAAGAAGATAAGGAAAACAGACAATGGAAAGTCTACAGGTGTAAAAATCCAACAATTTGAAATTACTGTGCCATACAAAACAATATGAACTATGATTTAGCCAGTTAAATATGAATATTTACTCTAGAACCCTTCAATGGATTAGCTTTCACAACTTAATGATCATATCTCTTTATATACATAAGCAAGCAATTCTAAAAATTTTGGAAATTTTGGAAAGGGCTCTAAGTGTTATGTTCTACGACTTTCTCAATGGTATCTACAGCATAGTTAATCCTAAACAGAGCATATCACAGGTGAGCACAGTGAAGATCTGTGGTTTCTTTAAGAGACCAAGGTTGAGATTCCACCTCCATGACTCTTCACAAGTGTGATTTTTGGACAAGTCCATCTCACTGACCCACACTGTTTTCATTAACAAAGAAAACACAAAGCAGTAATCTGAGAATTAAGGTTGACAATATATGCCAAAGACAATAGTAAAATATTCAAATACTGAGTTTGCCAGGCACATTCATATCTTTATTAATGTAGCATAAATATTAAGGAAACCACAATATTCACTAATTATTATTTCAGGATTGATGGAACAAAAAAAATATTTCCTACTTTTGAATAAGACAAATGCCAAATATTCACAAAATAAACAGGAGCTCAAGTCTGATCTGGCAGAATGCTGTCCTGAGTAGAGCAAATGTTCTAACTGTGGCCAGCTGTAGACGTAAGAGCTGCTGGGCTAACTCACCATAGGCACTCACCATGCTATAGCTGGGCTAACTCACCATAGGCACTCATCATGCTATAGGACTGCCAGCATTCCAGTAGTCACACCATTAAAAGCCTACCTCAGCACCTGAGCTTTGCCAGGTTAATAACACTGGCTTTGGAGTCACATGGACAGTTTGAAGGACCTTTTCTCCCACTCAGTGTGTTTTACAGGAGAAATTTAACTGCTCTAAGTCTCATATACCCCATTTGAAAAATGGGACTTGTGTCTTAAAGGTGATTCTGAGGAATCAATAAGGTAGATGTTATATGTAAACAGTCTTCCACAGATCATGATCCACAGAAATCATCATACTGCTATTTCAGGAAGAGTAGAAAATTAGCTGCAACGTATGAGCTGTAAGTCACAGACAAACCTAAAAGAAAAATCAGTATTTGTGCAAAAAACAGCAAGACACGAAACTTACAGTGATAATTCATGATTACGGAAGTGAACTACCTAACAGACATTTATGAATACTGATCAACACCTAATCATTTTAAGAACAGACAAGAATTCCAGGAACTAAGAAAAAGGCAGAAGTTATTTATAAAAACACAGCTGTGAAGCTGGGCATTGGTGGCACACGCCTTTAATCCCAGCACTCGGGAGGCAGAGGCAGGCGGATCTCTGTGAGTTCATGGCCAGCATGGTCTCCAGAGAGAGAGTCGGCAGGCGGATCTCTGTGAGTTCAAGGCCAGCATGGTCTCCAGAGAGAGAGCCAGGATAGGCTCCAAAGCTATATAGAGAAACCCTGTCTTGAAAAAAACAAACAAAGACAAAACAAAACAAAAGAAAACAAAAAAAAAAAAAAACACAGCCTGTGGCATATATAAAACAGCTCTTAATTTTATGTAAATACTTGAAAAGATTTGTAGCAGCTAACTTATTAAGCTTTAAACTTCTCTTTAATTAGTCAGTAAGCACTGTTTATTAAATATGCATCTTTATTAGGTTCTGGTGCAGCCCAGGCTGATCTCAAAACTTGGTATGTGGCTCAGACTGGCCTTTAGCCTTCTGATCCTCCTGTTTCCTTCTCCCCAGAACTAGAATTACAGGTGTGAGCAGTCATACTCAGCTTATGCCATCATGGGGATGGAACACATATGATTTGTGTTAGACTTTGTACAAGTTCCATCTATAAAAACATTAAACAATGGCTTCAAGTTAAGAATAATAACATAATACTATGCAGCAGTTAGCATGACATGTTTATAGAAAATACAGTATATCTTAGACCTTATGGCATTTACCACCACGGCTTCAAAGTCTCAGAATAACAGGAATTTTCTGAACATTTATATAGTGCTTCCTCATTGTGAAAATTTGAATATGAGGATTATGTTAAAAAGGAAAATCACCCAGCACTCAGGAGGCAGAGACAGGCGGATCTCTGTGAGTTCGAGACCAGCCTGATCTACAAGAGCTAGTTCCAGGACAGCCTCCAAAGCCACAGAGAAACCCTGTCTCGGAGAAAAAAAAAAAAAAGAAAGAAAGAAAATTATTAATGATTTTAAAATTATTTTTAGAATCTTTGAAAACAGAGTAAAAAGAACTCTGAAGGGCAAGTAATTTATTTCAAAATACAGACATTCAAAATTAGGAAGCTCATCCATACTTATTTTTTAAAACAATACTGAAAAGATAGATACCTAAATTATATCTCTAACTCCAGTCCATGCTGCTTGTAATGTTATCCGCTCCCCTCAAGTTAGCTTTACTAAAGTTTTCTACTGTGCAGATGTGGGCATTCCATACATACCCACTGATTCATATGAAAGCTTCTAATGAGAAAAGCCCTTTTTAAAAATAATGTGATGATACTAAGAAGATTTTCTGGGGTGGACATTAGTTGGAGACAGAATGAAGGAATTAGAGGACAATCCATTAGTTAAGTACTTACACAGTGCCGGGGTTACTGAAGGAGGAACAGTACACACAGCAAAGATGAGGTAGAGAAGACATGGAGGTTCCCAGGATGATGGAAAACAGGGACAGTGGAGAGGGGAAACAAAAATGGGGAGAAAAAGAATTTTAAAAAGAAAAAGAAAGAAACAGCAAAATGCAAAACAATTAAGAGATGGCACACAGACGCCATGCTTCAAAATAATCACAGGAACACAGACAAGTAAGCGCAAAGTTAGACAAAACCCCATCATCAATACCATGAGGATGGCAGTCTAACAGCTGGGTTTATCCCACAAAACACTGACAACAACTTTATTAATATCAGTTCAAGTCCTAGGTTCCTGAAAACCAAGAAAGAACCATGTATTCTTTTTAATGCCTAGGCTTTTAGAAAATTTATTTTAGTATGAATCAAACTCTTACTTTCCTACAGAAGTACATAATAAAGTACAACCTGATATATCACTTAGAAATCAGTTTAGAATGCATTTTAAAAATAGAAAAGAGACGGTTCAGTCTCACATTTTATGAGTATATTAATAGTAAATATAATCTCTTCCCAACATAAAATTATTTTTGGTGCTATTTTATAAGTGCAATTTTGCTACTGTTATTAATCATATGTAAATATCAGTGTTTTCCAATGGTCTTAAGAAAGGGTCCTAAGACCTGTGAAAGGGTCATTTGACCACCAGGTTGAGAAACACTGGTATAAAGCATTTTCTATCCCACCTTGCAGGAATATCGATTTGCAACTTGATCTCTTATAAACAATTATAGATGAACACTCCAATACTTTAAAGTTGAGGGAAAATGTTTTTTGTTAACATAAAACTGTGGAGGCAATATTCTGTGTTGAAGGGCATAAACAGAGAGTTGATTTCAACAAATATTTTCACATATTTTAGAAAATAATGCTCAAATAGATAAGCTTCGAATGTAGTAATATCAACGTGATAACCAGATAACCAGTACTAGCTAAGATGCCCATTTCCCATGTCATGGGCTAAGCACATCTGCAAGAGGTTTGTTTTCTTCAGTGGTAAATTGGGTTGCATATTTCTGTTCATTAGACTTTCGAATACTAGTTTGTAGGAGCAAATATTCCATGACTACTCAAGCAGTGCTTTCAAAGTGCAGCCTATGCACATTATTCATTTTCAGAGTCACAACTTGAGTCTGTAGTCTCCACAAGTAGATACCAAATCAAAATGATAGAAAGATGTCCACGTGACAATAGGTAGCAAAATGAAAGACACATCCAAATTTGGCTCAGGATCAAATCATAGCTCCTATACAAGAAGCATGACCAGAAAGTACATTCCTGGTCACTCAGCTAAATGAGAATTAGGCTGTTGTCATAGAGACACAGTAAAATACAGAGTAATACCCAATAAGTTGAATTTTGAGCTTTGCTATCTATTTAATATAAATCTTTAAACATTTTTTAAATTTCAAGTGGCATGTTTTCCTTTTTTCAAACAAATTATGTATTACACTAGAACCTACTAGATGGCCTCCAGTTTTTATATGTAGTAAGTTAATTTTAAATAGATAATACCTCAGAGTGTCTGAGTGTTTCACTAATGTGCTCGGGTCAATCAATAGATTACAGAAAATTAGAAAGGTGTTTGTAACAATTCAACAGTTAACTTTCTTGAATATATCTGAAGCAGATATTCCCTACTTCCAGAGACTTCAACGTAGTACACTGCTAAAAGGAATTTCTGTACACACTCAGAATAACCACAGCTCAATTAATACAAAAATGCTAAGTTGTTGTTAGAATGAGTATTAATCTTGTTTTTAAGATCACCATTACTAGTCAGTTTAGTATCGGTATGAATAAACAAAACAAAAATACCAGTGTTTTTCAATGTCTATGTCTACTAACTGAGACATTTAACAAAATGGTAACTATTTCTTTAGAGTAATTAAAAAATATATGGATTTTCACTGCTCACACAGAAACAAACATACTACACAAAGATATCTAAACCTGCCACTAACATTATCTGATTTAATTCTTCAGGAAAATCATAAGGGCCTTAGAGAATTTTATCTAGGAAATACTGGCTTTTGAATGATTTGAAAATACTTCAGATTTGTATATATTATTTACTACTGGTACAAGTTTTTATAGTTTCTCATCTTTGTCTTGTAACACTCCTAACTAATTAGAATTAATTCCCCCAAGCATTTCCTCTTTCAGCCACTGCACAGCAAACCCCACATATAAGTTAAACAATAGTAATTACTATAAAGCAATTCACTATAACATACCAATGCAAACCAAACTTATTGAAAACACAGTTTTTTCTAAAGTACAATTCTTTTGCAAAATTTAATTTAAGTTTGCAAAAACCGAGCAGTCATGCTGTTTACTCATATATAAATCACCATATTTCCTCTCCAGTAATGCAGATACTAACTTTGTCACGTGTGTTTTCTGTAAAGAGAAAAGCATTTTAAACCATTATTTGATTATACCATTAACTTTCAAATCTTTCAAGGCCAGATTCTTCAAAACACGACATAACAAACTGTTAGTAGTTGCAGCCAAAGAAAACTGAAATATAGGATACACAAAAGACGTACCTCCTGAGAGCAGTGGCATGTTATAATGCAGGACATGTGGACAGTGAAATGCAAATCAGTTAATCTATTCCATGTAAGACAGCTTGTTGCCAGTCAGGAATACAAAACCCTGCTCTGTTCTCCATGGAGTAAGGGAGTAGCGGAGAGAATGGCATGCCAAGAACATTACTGCATATGCAGAACACAAAAATTTCTTACAAGCACCTTAATCATTATTAGTTATAAGAAAAAGAATGCTTACATAGTCCTAACAGTTACTCTCAAAGCCACCAGAACACTAGTTAGACTTCTTACTATACAGGAGCTAGCAAGCTAGCTATATCTTAGTATTGACACCCAATAAGCACTTGTTTGTGTTTCCTGTTTATTGATTCAATACAAATTTCAGTGGGATAGCTGTAAAAGCTGTAAATTAGCCAACCATTTCAAATTGCTTAAAAACTAACAGTCCTAATGATTTGAGGAAAACACAACTCAGCCATTTACTTTGTATCCCTTTGAACTTTTAATCATTTGGTTATTGGTGGGTGCTATTTTAAAAGTGATTAATAAGGAGCAATCACTCTCAACTTTACGAGAGTTTTGTTTTACTGAAGTCATAGAAATCTGCGAAACTGACCAGTTGAATGCCTGATGGAAACAAGTTGACACCTGATGTGCAGAAAGTGAGCATCGATGCCAGAAAACACTAACTCCCAGGAAGACGAATGGCTGACTAGTCAAGTACATGACTTTATACTTCTCTAGTCTAAATTCGATAACAAAAAGCACTACAGATTTGCCTTAGAAACTGACAGGTACCAAATTATGTACTCACTGTCCTAACATCTGGACAGCACTTGAAATCAAGCTATTTTTAAACACTTTCAGTTTGCATTTGCAAGGCAGTAGCTTGCTTGTTAATGATGCAAACCATGTAATAATCCCTTTATCCTCAGCTTCAGGCTGTACTGAACACCGGGCATGTGCTGGGTGAATACTTGCCAACTCACTAGGGAGCTGCCACTAAGGCCCTGAAACTGTGGCACTGTCATTTGGCCTGAAATAAGCTCTATATGGTATTAAGCCTAATTACTACAGGAATGTTTCACACGCACAAACCGAAACTTTTTGTAAACTCAAGACTTTTCCATAACTTCACTTTCCTTTTACCTCAAAAAGACTTTATTGTAAAATTTCCAGAAGTATTAAAAGGTTTTGGTTAAGACACTGACCATCCCCAGGGAATATTCTATCTACTCAAACTGGAATTTAATCAACGCAGTAAACTTCTGCATCAGCATTTGACCAGCAACATCATTTTCTTGTGATTATCGAGTTCAATTACTCTAGCATCTACTGTCATAAAGCAGACATACAAGAAAAAAAGATATGATCAAACACACACATGTTCTTTGCCTTCGATAAGAGGAGCCATAACATTCTGTGAAGGGCACTAATTGACTTCAGTGTTCACATCAATACTTTTAAAAAGCTAACCACACCACAGAGCCAGAGATGTCTCCTTGCTCCCTCAGCAGCAGCCTGGAGCTGTGCCACCGCCACTTTCTAAGCTCAGAAGCTGCCATGGCAACAGCACTACAGAAAGCACATCCTCTTCATTAAGTGAGTTAACATTCCAGAGGGGTTAGATCTCTCAGAATGGGCCTATCTATACAATTATTTTAATTATAAATCTCCTGAAGAATTGCATCAGCAAAGCATATCACATGTGCATAGTATTTCCCCTAAAAAGTAAGTTTTATCACAATGAATCCAACCAAACTTGTATGTAGATCACTCTGCCTTCAAATAAATTCATGGAATTCTAAAAGGCCCAGATTAGCTACCTAGAAATAAAGGCTACAAAAACTTTTGTGCAACTTTAAAACTTGGGGCTTCAAGTAATTTAGTATGTTTAAGTCATGTTTAAAAATGTAATACCCAAATAAAAAAATTGCAACTGAATTTTCAAAGATTGTTACTATTATTTAACATCCTCTATAGTTTAAATGCATTCATGTTTTAAAAATCTACATATTATTTCTGGTGTAGAATATCTCTCACTTTTTAAAATTACTGATTGCATTTAAAGAATAAATTCCTGGTAAAAATATCCCTAAAAAGAATGTTAGGAATCTGCTCTGGGCTAACAACTTATACAGAGACATGAGTCGGGAGTCAACTTGTTTTTAGCTTTCTAGACTACTTCCTGGAGGGGAAAGATCATAACAAACTCATGTCCTCTCTCTTCAAGGAGGTATACATATGCTAAGAATAGTTACAATGCCACTGCTTAAACCTTTGGAGACCAAGAAAAGGATAGAAAATTCAAGGATAGATTTGCCTTGCATTATAAGTGCCAGCTGCTCAATACTGTGCAGGAACTTGGAGGGAAAAGTTACAGAGTATTGCAGGCTCAGAACACATCAAAATGCATAAGTAAGTTTTGATTAGTTTCTGACTGCTTTGTACAAGTCACTGCTAGCGCAGCAAGTATAACTTCATTCGCCTTCAAAGAACAGCTGAAGAAAAAGTCGATTGTTCCCTGGAAATTATCTGAAAGAGAAGAAACCACCCTTGGCCACCTACCCATTTTGCTGTTTAATGTCACCCTGGGATCCTCTTCTCTGTCCCTCTGCTAGCTCCTGAGCAGGCTCGGAACACACGCTGGTGACTGTGGGCTGCCGTGGGACATTAACTGCAGATTTACCAGTGTTGGGTGCGGATGAACACTGGTCAGTGCTAAGATTGGTATTAGCATGCAGTCCGGATGCAGAGAATGGGGGAGGAGTGACAGCGGCCACGGGTGAAGGGGAAGCATGTGATGAAGTGGTGGCATGGGCTGGGGTGAAGGCAGACGATGGTGATGGGATGGATGTGACTTTGGGTGAAGACACAGAACCAAAGGGCCGTGGTGCTTTATTGTAGGCCATGTTGGTTGTGGAAGAGACTTTGGATACAGCAGGAGATGTAATGGGCACAGGTTTAACTACTTCTTTAGGTTCACCCTATGCAAAATAAAAATAAACATATACAAAAACACAGCAAATACATGCAAAATACACCGAGTACAAACAAACACATAGTTGATTTTAAAAAGGCAAACACAATTATGTTAGCAGCTCAAATACGTTTTCAGGAAAAACAATGAGTTGATATAGCATAGCATGCATGCTAACTGATCTCAACATGCATAACAATAATGCATACAGTAATCACATTTTCATTTATAAAAATGAAAGTTTCAAAATATTTAAGAAACAGAGAAGGAAAACCAGGAAAAGAAAATCCTAAAGACCATCATTAAATGTCAACTTAGATATACTTTAAAGGAATAATTTTATTACACATAAACACAATTTCACTAACTGAAACATCTTATTTCTGAAATACCCAAAGCCTCAATTATAATTCCATCTTTCTAACACTTTTTTCTTTCTCTCCACAGTGTAATTCCTTGAGTCATGAAAATCACCAAGTTTTAAACTATTCAATTACAAAAAGAATGATGAATTCACCTAACTCAAAGTGTTATACAACTATTCTGGATAAAAAATTTGGGGAAGAAAAATGTAAAACAGACGAAAAAACACATTTATCCTTCATTTCTCCTAAGATCCACTTCTGTTTCCCTTCCTGGGAGCATTATTATTCAGAGATAAAATAAAATTATTTCCCTTTTTCCAAATAAAATATTTAAATCTCATGCGGAAAAACATAAAATAAAATTATTTCCCTTTTTCCAAATAAAATATTTAAATCTCATGAGGAAAAACATGTTATGTTATGTTTTGTTTTTCCCTCATTGCCAGGAGCCAAAGACTAGGAAGAAAGACCAACAATTCCTAAAATCACCAATACTGGAAAAACAAAAAAAAACTTTCACTCTACCACTCTAGAAGAAAGTCAGATCTTTAAGAAAATACATACTTGTAATTCAAATGCTTAATTACAAGGGGAAAAAAAAGGCAATATAAATCTTATAATGTTTCATTAATTGAGAAAAATAAGTTATGGTTGAAACAAGTGAATTAAATGAACATCTGAAAACACTGCCAAAAAAGGGGGCAGAAAAACTCCAAAGAGAATAAATCAGATAATTAAAACACTGGTTTGCAATAATGTGAGATGTATAATGAAAAATGGGGCCTTTGCCAATCACCTAATCCAAGAACACTCTAGAGTGGCATGATTTTCGTTTTCGTAGCTACATATTAATGCTTTTTAGAGAATATATTTGTACATATAGAAAAATTTAAAGTAAATATGAAAGGAATTTGGACATGCATTATTGACACTGTAGGGGTTTAAAAATAATATTTTATACTATTATTACACATGGCAACTGTGAAGGCTATTCTTGGTTGTCAACTTGACTTAACTAAAGTTCAAACAGAACTGACCACTTTTAATCCAGAATATTTTGAGGTGGGAAGATCCACCTTTAATCTGGGCCATACCTTCTGCTGGTATGGAGGACACTGAAGAAAGAAGTTTTCTTTCTTTGCCTGCTTGTTCTTGCCTGGCTAGAAAGTTCATTCCTTCACTGGCATTAGCACCTATTTCTTCCAGATTCCAGCATATACAAAAGGCCAGCTGAGCCATCTAGTCTTGTGAATTGAGCAACTGCTGGATACGTGGATGTACTGTTGGTGGACAGCCATTGCAGGACAAGCTAGACTATTCTAATCAATGCACTATCTAAATTCTGTTCCTCTAGATAACCCTGACTAATACGGTAACTTTTTAAGTTTTAGATTCTATTTCCTCTTTGTCTTTTAAGGAAAAGAATGAGACTATTAACTAAACATTGATATGACCCGAGATAGGAACAGCAGGAACAGCGGCTCAGGATAGACTAAGCCTAGTGAGGGTGAACTATGTACGCACCTTCTGGACAGCAACAGGCTCAGGCTTGGCTGCAGTAGATGCTCTAGGGAGAGAGAAAAACATGAACCATGAACCTCTGGCAATTTAATAATGTCATAAACAGAATTTTACTATTTATATACCTTAAGATATTAAATAATAAGAATGAATACCTTTATAATTCATAGATTTCATCATTCACAATTTCATTAGTTCTTGTAATTAGAAGTCAAATGCCACAAGACCCAGTATTCTCATGCACTGTCTTTCTTCAGTCTTTCTAGCCCTACAAGCTCAAATGAGGAGACAAAGCAGTAACCCTGCTTGCTAATATACCCATGTGGCTAAGGCAATCACCATATTAAAAGCATGATTTCCTGATCCTTGGGCAGTTCTTCAATAACCTATCCTGAATCTAGATTTCCAGCCTTTTTTCCTAATGAGTGTATCTACAGGTGCTGGGTCTCTTTCTAAAGGTTAGCAATTATATTCAGGTTGAAATATGTCCCTTATAATTTTCTTTATATTTATGCTCTCAAACACTTAAACAAGTTGATGTGTTTGCTATACCTGATGCTTAACATCAACTTTCAACTTGATGGAATCCATAACCCCTAGAAGACATGCCTGGTCTGTGAAAGACTATCTAGCTTAGGATAACTGAGGGTAGAAAGAGACACCTTAATTGTGGGAGGCATCATCCCAAGTGCAGGGAAATTGTCACCTGTTATTCCTAGTTAGATGCAATGTGACCAGCTGCTTCAAGCTCCTGCCACCATACCTTCCCACTAGGATGGGCCATGCCCTCAAACTGTCAGTTAAAATAAACTCTTCCTTCCTGAAGTTGCTTTGCCAGGATAGTGTGTCACAAGAATGAGAAGCATAACTGTTACATTAAATACATTAAATAGTTAATTATTCACCAGATTCCTTTCAGGGGAAGCAATGACTATGCCCTGCTTCTAGCCATATGTTAGTGCAGCACCTGGCACATACTATGTTATCAGAAATGAATGTGCAAGGAAAAGATTAAAGAAAGTCTGACATCACTCCAGGCATGTGACAGCTATTTATATCTCAAGTGGATTGCCATTTTTAACCTGTTCATATTTTGCACCATATGTCTTTTTGGTATGATAGGCTAAACAATAACAATAATTAGTTTGGAGCAAGTACCTCTTACGTAATAAAACTATCATTATCTTTACCTTTCAAAAACGGGAGATTCAAAATTCAAGGACTAGAGCTGAGTCCCATGCTGTTGCAGTTTACAGTACGATAGCTGTATTTATTAAAAATTGAGGAAGCTACAGATACTTCATAGGGTATTCACTTGATTTTAAAGTGTTATTTTTTAAGAATTGTTTGAGAATTTTATACATGTGTGTGTGTTGATCAAACTGACCCCCTCCTCCATCTCCTTCTCTATATCCCTACTGCATGTTATTTTTTAATAAACCAGAGCAATCCAATTCCCCTCATGCTATACCAGCCGGAGGATAGAGCATCAAGGTATAATTCCAAGAATGTGAAATTTGCAGGAAAATGGATGGAACTCGAAGAAACCATTCTGAGCAAGGTAACCCAAACACAAAAACACAAACATGATATGTACTCACTCATATGTAGATTTTAGACATAGAGTAAGGGATTACCAGCCTACAATCCACACTGCCAGAGAAACTAGTAAACAAGGAGGACCCTAAAAGAGACAAACTTTGTCCCCTGGAGAAGGGGAAAGGGTCATGATCCCCTGAGCAAATTGAGAGAATGAGAAGGGAAGAAGAGGAAGGATGCAGAGGTCATGAGGGAGCAGAAAGGTTGAGTCAGGTGTAGATTAGAAGAAAGGATGTGTGATAGGTAGGGTTTTAGTTGGGGGGAGGGGTTGGGGAGGAAGGAAGGGAGAAGGGAACTGGAATTATCATGTAATTCAATCTTGTTTATAATTCAAATAAAAATTAAAGAAAAAGAAGAAAAGAATTCCAAGAATGCAAAATTAGTAGGTAAATATGAATCAGTAATAATTTTCTTATATAAAAACAAGAGATTGTTTTATTTAAATAGACAACAGATCACAAAGAACCTAGAATATTGGGCCTCACAATAAACATACCCTACTAATGAACTTTGATCAATATTTTAGAATTTTCCAACTGAATTTTCCAATAACAACAAATTTAGTTATAACAGTCACCAACAAAATAGGCAGCTAACCTAATGAAAGGCCACAGTGGGTACTAATACTCAGCTGCTATAGTACAAGTTATACCTTGTACAGCTGCATAACTTTCCATCCATTCTCCCAAATGAATTCTCTTTAGCTTGCAGGGTTATTACAACAAAGGGCAAGTTCAAGTACAGAGCAGTGGAATCTTCCTTTTATTGGAATTTCACAATCCAATTTAATCGCAAAGGATGTACTCATTAAAGCCTCCCAAGACACTGCTGAAGGTTGCCAAGACTGAGAAGCCAATATCCCTTTTCATCCAGATGTCTTAAGATACATGGAGCATGTCTAGCAATGCAATGTGTAAATAACGATGTTATGTGGCTGGCATTTAGTTCAGCTTGCCCACCATGAGCAAGGCCATGGATCCAATTCTCAGCAACAAAATAAGCAAGCAAAACTCCACCAACAGTCAGTAACCAGGTTGCTGCACTCAAGATAAATACAGACATCCTATATGTAAGGAAACAAATCCCTTCATTTGTTCTAGTGTTCCCTCTAATTTAAGCAGTGTTAGCAAAAACAAAGGCCCAGAACTGGATTTTCACTGATTTTGTTGTTTCAACAACTTATTATGTTCAGAATGAATATTAACATACTTTTTTAACTGAAAGTTCTACAAACACAGTATTTGAAAAACAACTGAACTTACAGAAAAAAGATATTTGCCTTCTGACAAGGTTTCACAAGAAACAAGATAAGCATTTCATGGAGAATGGCCAACACACCCTTGATGGGAAATGTACTGTGTATGTTTATCTTATTGATTGTTAAATAAAATACTGTTTGGCCAATGAGACAGCTAGTTAGACAGGACTAGGAGTCAAAGAGGATTCTGGGAAATGTAGTAGAGAAGTGCTGATCCAGGCAGGAAGTGACATAGCAAGGAGACTCATATTTAAGCGAAGGAGAAACAGGAAGGGTCCCTTTTCCCATCCGCTCTTGCTCCAGCAGCACAATGTGATCCACCGGCAAGGAGGGACGCCAATAAGGCGTCCGATAAGTCTTATAAAATATATAGGTTTGATAGTTAAGACTGAGCTAACAGATGAGAATCCTAGTCATTGGCCAAGCAACATTGTACCTAATACAAGTTTCTGTGTATTCATTTGGGCCCTAACTCAGGCGGGCGGCTGGCGTAAAGCTCACACGTGGCGGTGGAGCTCAGGCGGCCTTAATGTAACACACCCTCCAAATCCCAATGTGGGTCATTATTCAAATATCCCACTGCAAAAATAGATTGACTTATAATTAAATGTCAAATGAAACAGCTGATAAACCACAAAGTGCAATAAAAATCAGCTGCCTTGTTTTAAACACTAACCACCAAATGAACCACAGAATTATTAAGTTTTGAAAGAAAAGGTTTCTTATATGCCATTAGTATCTTGTGACAACTCTGAATATTTATTGAAGTTCACAATTTCAGCAAAGTTTGAAATACTCTGTTAAAATGGTTATGTTAATATGTTTTACTTTGCCTTTTAAAGTAAATTTGTAAGTTAGGTCAGCAGTTTCATTTTTAACCTTTAAAATCCTTCTCAGCAGGGCATTGGTGGCTCACACCTTTAATCCCAGCACTCGGGAGGCAGAGGCAGAGGCAAGAAGATCTCTGTGATTTCGAGGCCAGCCTGGTCTCCAGAGTGAGTGCCAGGATAGGCTCCAAAGCTACACAGAGAAACCCTGTCTCAAAAAAACAAAATAAATAAATAAAATCCTTCTCAAAGAAATATTTCATTTTGGCACTGTATAGTAAAATGCTTCTTACAATATTATTGATATACCTAAAAAGACACCAACATTTTAGGAAAGGGTCTCTTTAAAAGATACTTATTTCTTCTCTTTTGTGTACCTCTTCACAAACTTATAGATGAATGTGTATTTTTTTATAATAAGGAAAACTGTCTTGTAGCTTATTTCACAGTAAACTACCTTGTAAAAATCTAAACAAAGCATTCTACTATGAAAGCTATATGGAAAACATGAAGTTCCAAGATATACATCGTCTCAGTCACAAGCCTTTAAATACCAGGGAAAATACTATGGATTGTTGTCTGCACATATTTGAAAGACAGTTTGTTATTCAGGAATAGTTCTCAAGAGCAGAGTTGAGGGTGGGGCTTGGGAAAATAGAAAAGAATGATATTTTTTATACAAAAAATATATATATATATATATATATATATATATATATATATATATAGTATTCTCTGTGGAGAAAGATCAACATACAAATATGGAAAAGCATTTGTCCAAATTAAATTTATTATAGTTATCTTTAAGTTGGACAAATAGTAAGCATTTTCTCTTTTAGCAATAACACAGATTACGTGAAAAAGAGTGAATTTAAAACATTTAAGCAAATAGTTTAAAACTATGGTATAAGGACTTTAAAAAAAAAAAAAAAAAAAAAAAAAAAAAAAAAAAGAGTCACAAAATACTGCCTCTCCTTCAGGCAGCCGGGATCAAGAGTCACTCCTGTGCAGGGTGAGCTTCCAGTGTGCTGAGGTCCTGGCTATGGCACAGCGCCATGGCCCAACAATTGGCTTATTGTTCTCTCTCCTTAGTGGGAAGCCCTGTCAAGAGGAACCCTGCATGGTGAGATACCAGTGCCTTAGCTCAGAACCAGCCCCAGAATACAGAATGTGAAGAACAAAGCTCTCCCTATGGCTACAATAAGCTTTTCAAAATTGCTTGGTTTTTTCCTTTGTTTGTTTTTAAAAAGCAGTATCTGAAACAAAAATTCCCTAATAGGTATATCCAGTTTCAGAGCTTCCAGCTTAACAGTTGAAAGGAGTCTGCAGTTACAACAAACCTATTGAAAACTAGAATTGTGATGTCCTAGTTAGAATGAAGAAAATGTAGGTAAGT